CAACCAGTTTACCGAAGTTTTTGAAATACTTTCTCAATTGCATAATTTCATAATACTCAGCATCTTTTCTCCTTTTGTAGACTGGACTGCTTAGTGCATACGTCATAAAGAGGCTCTATTTTGGAAGGTACCTGTAATGTTCTTTTGCCACTTTATATCATATCTAAGATTGATCCGTTTCTATTTAACAAGAGATACAACTTAAAGTATTTCAAGATTTGGCGGCACTGTGATATTAGAAACCTTCTAAATTATGTCGTACTTGGTATATTTGATATAAAAGGAAAAAAAATTATGTCAAGATGATAACTTCATATAGCATTGTTCCTACAGGCATTCCACTGATCGTGAGGTTGCAATCATGATGCTTATGGCTTACTTGTCATACATGCTGGCAGAAGTAAGCTTCTGATAACTTATGATGAGTTTTTTCGCGAAATTTGCACTCTCTTTTAGTGACCTGTTTGGAGTTCAATCACACGAATCATTGTATGAGGACTCTATTTTTAACCCCCCCTAACGTGGTTTTGCAGCTATTCTATTTAAGCGGCATCCTCACTGTTTTCTTCTGTGGAATTGTGATGTCACACTACACCTGGCATAATGTGACGGAGAACTCGAGAGTAACCACTAAGTAAGATATCACTTTTATCTTCTCTGCATGAACTCGTTCTTTTACTGATTGAAGTTTATCATCAACAAAAATACAGGCACACTTTTGCAACATTGTCATTTGTTGCCGAGACATTCATATTTCTTTATGTCGGCATGGATGCTCTTGACATTGAAAAATGGAGAGTCGTAAGTGACAGGTATATGTTGCATATTCTTCGCGGACATACGTACACAGATAGTTGTTACTTAAATGAAAAATATTTTCCTGGGCGGTCCAATTAAGTGGTTCTTTCCTTTTTTTTTTTTTTCCTCTCGGGACTTTTCTGAGCTTAGCTTATGATTACTTCATTCTTCAGTCCAAAGACTTTATTCAAGGTCAGTGCAACTTTACTGGGATTGGTTCTGCTTGGAAGGGCAGCCTTTGTCTTCCCCTTGTCGTTTTTGTCGAACTTGACCAAGAAGACCGAGAAAATTGAGTTTAAGCAGCAAGTACGAGCTCTACCACCTGTGTTTCTAATGTCACAAGGCCTTGATTTACTTTTATTATCTAATTATTTCAAGAATTATGATTTGGCCAGGTTACAATATGGTGGGCTGGTCTTATGCGTGGTGCTGTGTCAATGGCCCTAGCTTACAACCAGGTGAATTTTTTTTGTCTTTCTGCTTCACTTCAAATGATCATGTCATATCCTGAAAAAAAAAAAAAATTGTAATTGAAACAAATGTAATGTTAATTTATCTTTTTTCGTTGTGCTTGCAGTTTACTAGGGCCGGTCACACCCAATTACGTGGCAATGCCATCTTGATAACTAGTACCATCACGATTGTGCTCTTCAGCACTGTGGTAAAGATATAACTCCTACAAACTCATTTGTTATCATCACTCAACTAGCTCAAATAATAATTTGCATTCTCGTAAATTGAAAATTTTGTCTAGGAAGCAATCAATCGCAATCACATAAATGATAAAGTCATTAAGTGATTGTTAGCTTCTGATTGGGGACAGGCAAATACTAATAAATAACCATTGCATTTTTTAATGCTTTCAAATATCAACCTTCATTTGTTATTTTTCATGATTTTAACGAGGATTGAAAACTTTTGCAGGTCTTTGGCTTGATCACGAAACCTCTCGTGAGACATTTAATGCCCTCGTCCAAAAATTTAAGCAGAATGAGCTCCTCAGAGCCCATCACGCCTAAATCTCTGCACGCGCCCCTTCTTGGAGAAAGTCAAGATTCTGAGGCTGACCTTTTCGGGCATGGGCTGGGCTCGGAAGCCCGTGAGGACGGTCAGACCGCGACCCGGCCCAGCAACTTACGCTTGCTTTTGACGAAACCTACGCGTACTGTACACTACTATTGGAGAAAATTCGATGATGCTTTCATGCGACCCGTTTTTGGTGGCCGGGGCTTTGTTCCGTACATACCTGGATCGCCAGTCGATCAAAGCATGCATGCTGGGAAGCACTGAAAAGGTTATTATTATCAGGTTTNATTCGGTTTAGTTTGTGAGGGAATTATCGGTTGCGAAAAGATTGGTTGAGTTTGGGTACATTATCTGTGTTGAAACAGAGTGTCTTGTTTTTCTTCTATCAGGATCACAGAGAGTTGTACTAGGGAAAATAGGAAATTTTCTCTGTTATTTTTTTTCCTTTTTTGTTTTTGGTGGATATACCAGATTAGTGTGCATTTTTGGCTAGTGAGCTTATGTATATGGTATTGACAAATTTTGCATGTGCTGCAGAGTCATAATGTAACTAATTATCTCTGTGGTGTATTATGTTGTTTCCTAATTGGTGTTCAAGAAGGTTTGTTATTGTTTTTAACTTTTGATGCGATTTGAGAACCAATGGTTTGAGCTCGAGCACTTAAGCTCGGCTCATTAACTAAATGAAGTTAATGAGTCAGTAGTCGAGTTTGAGTTCGGCTCATTAATCAATATTAAAAAGTCGAGTTTGAATTTTAACGAGTCGAACTAGAGCTTAATGAGCCAGTTTATATAAAAAAAAATTAAAAATGTCTTTTTTCAAGCCTTATCGAGCACAATTCGTTGATTAAACGAATTCGAGCTCGGCTTAGAATTGATACAGAGTTTACGAATGGTTCGTTATTTTTGTTGAAGTCTGCACACTGAATTACCCATGCATGAGTCATTCCTATATTAGTTAATATGGTCATTCTATTGTCTTGTACTTGCCTCATACCTACATAACAATATGTACACCTTCAAATGATGTCATATGTCCTAATGCTTAATTATTTAATTAAAAAAAAAAACTTGTAGATACTAAACTAGCCTTATTTAAAAAAATTATAAAATATATTATTTAACTATTAATATATTTATCTAGAAGGTGTTTAATTATTCTTAATTATTATTTTACCTAAACACATATACATATTTCAATTAAGCCATAAATTCTTAAATTGCAAGTGTATTGAATTTGATGAATCATCTTTGCTCCCATATGTGTGATCAATCGATCTTCATCTTTTCTCCCATCTTTTTTTCCTTACTCGTTCTGAATTTAAGATGATTCAATCAATCGATTTTATCTTTTCTGGAGGCTGGTCTAATTTGGTTGCTTCTTCTTCATCTTCTCTTTTCTCTTGTCCGCCATAACCCGGTAAAATATTTTCAATTGCCTCTGAATTATGGATCATGATATATGTATGTAGAGTTCATTTACTACTGAAGTCTGGTATTATATATGAAGAATGGTTGGAGTTTGTATTGCTGAGCATTGGTCAGGTTAATTGCTGTGAGTTGATATCTAAGTGTTATGGAACTTTTTGAATGTATAAGCTGTCAATTTTAAAAGTTTTTAGATGTATTTTTAGGCATTGATAAACAATGAAAACACAAACAATTGGCGTACATTGATAAACAATGGAAAAATGTACGATTGAAGGTAAACTAGTTGTCCCATATTTCCTATACCCATAACATTTGTAATCACTCATTTGTTTAATGTGTCGTTACAAAAGTTGTACCAAAAAATTGTTAATAAAATGGTGATTACACAAAACATATTAAACAATGTCAAGAAAATTATAACTGACAAAAGGACAATATAATAAATTGTTCATTAAATCACAGACCGTACTTGTTCGTCGACAATCAAAAGCCATATCGAATTGTTTCATGTGTCCCACGATAAAATATAACTGTTCAGACATCAACATCAAAGACCATATCATTGCAATTTACTTTCTTAAAATTCAGAATGCATCCTTCAGCTCCATCAACATCAACTATGAAAGGTTTCAGTCCCGTGAATATGTGTTTGGTCATTTTTTTCTTCATTCGGACTGTCCACTTCTTGCCCCCATAACGAATAATAGCAAATTGGGCATGATCAAATTTTCTCATCGACGCTTGATTCCAGAATGTAGATGGAATCATCTGTTTGGTAAGGAATAAATTTTTGTCGATTAATACATATCAATAATTTTTTTACAATTCACACATAAGAAGTTTTGTTCCAAAAAAAAAAAAAAATACATATATATACACCTAAGAAGTTGAATGATATTGTAATAAAAAGAGATGTTTCAAGTATAAATATTTTACCTGTCTCTCGCGGGTGACAAGGGTGAAAGAAACCTGTATACTGAAGCAACCATCAACAATTTCTGCTTCAGTCGCGCTCACTTCATCGTCTTCAATGCAAGGTCCAATCATAAGGTTGATGGGTGATTGATGAAATTATAAGAAATCTGTTGAGTTTTTACTCTTCTACTCTCACCCGTACGCTTCCCTACACCATGCAGTAACTTACATGACACAATTTTTTTATTTTATTTTATTTTTTATGCGAGTATTATTTTTTCTAGTCGGTTGGCAATTCGTTACCACATTATCTATAATAAATTTTATACGATGTAATTCAAATTCTTATGATTTTTTATTTGTTACATATCATCTAATCTGAATATATATCATTTTATTCCATGTTTTTATTAAAATAATTGATTGATTGTTAAACCAAAATATTGAAAAGTTGATATATTCTTGTGCGATGTTTATGGAGAGAGTTGATGGGTTGGAGAGAGTACCATAAATTCAGGGGTGAATTAGTTATAGAGAAATAGGAGAGAGAAGTATAAATTTAGGAGATAATAACTGTTTTTTATATTTTATTAATTGAGTATTACAATATTGTGTACTACACGTTTACTTAAATATTAATATTTATGTGATAAAAAAAGTAAATAATTTGTATTTTCATAGTGAAATTATGTATAATGAAAATACACCAATAACAAATAACTAACAAATTTATAATTATTGAAAATGACACCCGTATTTTTACACAAATTTGTAAAAAAAAAAAATATTATTATGCATATTTTCTTTTATATATGTTTAAAAAAATATTATTTACAACCCTATAAATTTGATTCGATTTTTTTAACAAATCAAATTTTATTTTATATTTATAGAGTTTGTGTCTCTCGTTTATTAATTTTTCAAGTATCCACAAAAGATGTATTATTTCCAAAATTTATGAAATACAAAATTATTTTTATTATTTCTAATTATGATACTTCATTATATTTATTATCTAAACAACATAATAATATTCACTTCTTTATTTTATGTATTCTTAATTTTCATATTATGGATATTCACAATAAAAGACCTACTTTTATATTCTACTTTTCAATTTAAGACTCCAAATTAATTTTCATTTTGACATAATTATGTAAACCACAACTCTTTTTTTCTTTTTAATGAAATTATTTTATAAGCATAATGAAAAATATTAAATATCTTTCGTAAATTTACCTAATAAGAAAATTATTTCATAATTTACATTTATGCAAAAATTTAATGAAAATTATTTTAATCTAAATATGTGATAACATTCAAAAATAAACTATTTAGAAAAATAATTTTATTGTTTAAATAATGTTATAGAAATTATTATTTGTGAATAAAATTTTAATTTTTAAAACAGTTAAGAATATATAAAATTAATACCTATAATAAAGGTATTAAATATATTTGTAAAACTAGTTTAGTAAGAAATTAATTCAAAGAAGTTACATTTATGTAAAATTTAGCTTAAATGAATTAATTAGATTTTTAATAAAGTAATTTTACTAAAGATATATATAATTATATAAAATATAAATTCAAAATAATAGTATTTTGATTTACATATTTATGTGAAAATATAAAGTTAGTTGGTGTCTTAAATTGAGAACTAGAATGTAAAAGTAAGCTTTTAATTGGGAATAACTTAAAATTGAAATCGTCAAATGAAAAAGTTGAAAATTTAGGCCATATTGTGACACAATAACAAAGTCTTAGTCCTACAACAAAATTTCTCCCAATATGAAGGACAAAACAAATGTTAATGATTTGTATAAAAATATGTGAATTCGAATATCATTGAACTTTACATAGTTTAATATTTGAAAATTGGGACTTGTGCACACAACAATCAAAATATGAAGTATTGAGATCTCATTACACAAAATACTTCATTCAACAAATTTGTAGGGGAAAATAATTAGTTCAGGTGCCACTATTATGCAGATTTGAAATAAAGATAAATTGCCAAATTGCACATAAACAGCTAGTTGAACTTGAGTTGAGGATTGGTTGCAGACCTAAATGTAGTCATAAAAGCTATGCCACCAAATTTTGACTTAGCCGAGCCCACTTACATCAATGAGTTCAATTAGGCTTACTTGGATGGCATTGGCAAGGCCAACTTTCATAACTATTCATTAGAAAACGGCTACAATCCACAAAGGAAAGGGATTATAAGGAAGTTCCTTTTAACAAAACTCATACCAAAACTACCAAACTTATAAAAAAAAGTTCATATTGGAATTGATATTTCTCTTATCTCTCTAAAATCGCCTTTATAACGAATTCGCGTAGCTTAAGTGGAAGACTTGTATGCTTTGTAAACTTATTTGCTTAGTTTAAGTAGTATATTCACATGCTTTGAGTTTATTACCCTAGGTTTGATTTAAAGGCTAAAAATCCTTCAGTATCTGCTCTAGTCTGACCAGCAGTCCATGCAAAATCGTCGAGATATCTCACCCATTCAGTATGACGTCCTACCATGTCCCTTTTTGATCGTCCGTCTATAGCTTCGGTCAGCAGCTTCACCGCGACGTCCAACCGTCAACAACCTTCTCCCAACAGCCGGGAACAACCAGCACTAGCCGCGACGACCACAGAGCTTTCGAGCTCAGTCGATTCGTCAATCTGGTTGTCCTTCAGTCGCCGGTTTCTGGCCAAGACCTGACCACCTAGACCATTATTAGCTACCTAGACCATTATTAGCTACCCGGGACGTCATACAACTACCCTGACTCCCAATGCAAGACCAAAAACATCCAGCCACTAGTCGTCACTGTCCGGCACAACATTAATCCCCTAATGTCTTCATACCAACCTCCGTCATCCCTAGCCGTAGCCTGGTCCGCGCATAGACGAGCGCACAAGCCATGTCTTCTTTTTTTTATTATTATTATTCTCAATTAATTTCAAAATTGTAATTGCTCAAAATTTTGTGTCTATGCGTGTAATATATATAGCCAGTTTGAAGGAATAAAAGAAAAAGGGGAAGAACGTGAAATNCAAAATTTTTCCAAAAGTTTACTTATTTTAGGTGGGAATGTGAATGATTTTTAGATACAATTTTAAGTAAATGTCTTTATCTCTTTATATATACTAATAGATATGTAAGTCAAATAGTTTATATTTATATCATTAATTTTTATTAATAATAAAATTTATAAAATATAATATGCTCATTATTTAATTTTTAATTTTAAATATTATATATACAAATATTATAAAATTTTGTTTGCATCTATACATATGCATAAGATCGAGTAATAGCGTGTAAGGAAAAAAACTAGAAAAAAAGGGCGAAAACATTTCGTTTGGGCGTTGGTTAAAGAAAAAATGAAAAAACATGCAAAATGTGCGTATAAAAGAAGCATAAAGTTTCCATTTTTCCCAACCTCACTAACTTCTTTCAGCTACCATTCCAATAAAACTTCTCACGCTCTTCGTGCTTTCCGCCACCATCCCTTCTTCTCTTCCTATCGATCTTGATTTTCCGATACCCTTTTTTCTCTTCATTTCTTGATCTCATCGGACAAATGGCGTCTTTTGCTGCCTCCCCTGTTTCATTCGCCCCAGCCTCTTGCTCGCTCAAGCAAAATCAGGTTGCAAATTTTTTGTTATATAATCAGTTTTCCTTTATTTTTTTTTCCTTTCTTCTTTTTGTTTTCACCCATTTTATTTCCTCCTCTCTTGTGCGTGTTGTAATTTCCTTTGTTGCAGTGTGTGTGTGTGTGTTCTGTAGAAATTACTTATGGGCTTATAGTGTTCTATAATGTGTTTTACTGAGTTTTCATATATTTATATTTCCGCAGCATATGCATGGTTTGTAAGTCTTTCTTGATTTGAGCTTTGCGAATTGGGATCTTGTTATAATTGGAATTTATTGTAGAAGTATTCATCTTGATCCTGTGTTATTGTTTCATTATCCGCTGAACTGAAATCTGTGTGTTTACCTTTTACTTCTTCATTTGAGTTATTAATATAATTCCATCATAAAGATCTAATCTTTTTGAAGTTGGTCAGGGGCTTGTTAAGGTTGCCTTGTCAATTCACTTTTGATGATCAAATGTTCTCTATGTTTCATTCCTTTGTACGTTTGTTTGGATGTTCTGATACTAATATTAGGAGTATGTTAGTTGTTCTGACTTTGGGTTGTAAGTTTGAAATTAGCGTAATTCGACTTCAAGGTCTTAAAGTGCCTTTTATGTTTTTCACCTGCTTGTGTTTATATGATTTCTAAACTGATGAAAGTGCTGACAATATTGTTTCATGGGATTATGGTATTGTCCTAGAAAGATTGGTTCTGCCAATTT